GATGAGCCACTCCAAGGGCATGGTGCTTCTCACCTTTGGCAATTTCTTATGTGGGTAGACAAACTCTGAGTAATCAGATCATTCTGGCTATAGTTGAGAATCTTGAAGGCAGACTGGGAGAGAAAAAGTATCTTTCCTTGGTCATATCCTATGACAAACAAAAATACATCTACTACCCTGAGAATAAAGTGTTTCAGTTAATCATCTGACAGAAAGGTGAGCTTATAATTTGTTTCTGTGTATGGACTGGTGGCACTAAGACAGGGCTGAATTTGTTTGGGATAGAATCCTGTCATTCCAAATAGAATACTATTGAAAAGATAATGCTACTGCCACAAGATTCTGTCTTCAGAGCTTCACTGGATGGGGACCCCTGAGCAAAGACCTGAGAGTTCTGGTTCTGGGTGGGATTGAAAATATATGTCCTAACAAGCACCCCAGGGCAAGGCAGAACTACACATGTAGAAATACTGGCCCAGGTCTCTAGCAAGACTCCCACATAAGGAAAACCAAGACTAGGGGAAGGCAAGAGTCTCCCCAATGAGGGGATATAGCCACAGGCGAAGCATGGGCTACAAGGGAACTGGGGATACAGGGCTGAGTGTTGGTGGGGACGGGGCTCTGTGCTTCCTCCATTTCTAGGCCAGGATTTAGACTGTAATAGTATATGAACTTAAGCAAGTAACTAATGAGCTCATGCCTTTGTTTCCTCACCTCTAAAGGGAGACATCTCCTTCCTTGATAGTTATCTAACTGTTCATTTACAGGCAATGTCTGGCATGTTTGAGCACTCACTGACCACGGCTACCATTATTATCACTGGAGTTCTCCTCCTTGTCTTCCTCATAGAGGAGTAACCAATGAGATAGGTTTGTCCAGGATTGAGGTGAGGGGAAGTTTCCTAGGATATAGGACAATCTCAAGCCAGTGATAATAGCCATGCTTGGAGAAATAGCCCTCCTCTAACCCAACACCCTCCCTGTCCCCAGGGCACAAAGAAGCCAGAGGATCCCTTGGGCTCTGGAGCAGACCCAGCTGAGCAAAGTCCTACTGCTGATCTACTGCTAGGTCAGCAGGCCTCCTCTGGGCTTCAACAGAAACTCAAGGAAGTAGTCACTCAGTCCCCCCAGAACAGGCCTCACCTGATGGCAATAAGTGCCCGAGCAGCCTTGCTGCGAATCTCAGCATTATCACTAAGGAGCTTCTCCTTAAGACAGGGCACAGCGTGGCTGTCCAGTGCCTCAGTGGCATCTTCCTGCAGACATGGTGCCAGGATATCCAGGATGAGTTCCTGAATGTTCTTCTCCTCCTTCTGAAGCTTCCACACCAGTGAGGGGATCAGGCCGCTCTTGACAATGCCCTGGGCCCCTGCAGAACAGGAAAAAGGCATTGGGGATTCAACATTCCCTTCCCCAATGCTGACTGGTCTGCCGAGGTGGGGTGGATTGATAGGAGGAACAGGCAGAGGCCTGGGCAGCTGCAGGAGCCCATGGGCACA